GATACAATACGTGGAGTGATGCAGTAACGCGGCGGCGTACGCTCAGTCATTAGTCCCGCCATCGCCATATCACCATGTGCGTAGTACATCGTATCTCTCCAAACTTTATCGTTACATTATTTATAGGGAAATTGTTTTCGCTAAACACATTTTTCGCTTCACGCGGCATTTTTTAGGAACGCACCCACCGCGTTAAACAACGACTTGCCGTACAAAAGGCGAAATGAGTGCTAGGTAGGGAAGAGGTGAACAAGTCACGAAAGATATCAATAGACGTTCACAGTGTATAGAAGTACACATTGCACAAGCACGTAAATTCCTGCCCATTTGGTCTCAGCGATGCTGCAATCCACCTCCTCTTGCACGCGGGCCGGTGCCATCTTGTCCGTTGGGTTTTACTCTCGGCCGAGTCACCTCTTTTGGCTGCCATTCTGACACCAGTCCCATCCTGCCAAGCCACGCCCTTGCCCCCCAGAACATTGCTGCCTGGACAGAAGCTCCACTTCACTCCGCTGTCCCGACATGGAGCTGCCTCCATGATGAACACATCGTCGGCGAGATCACCGATTCTAGTCATCAGGCCTTCAAACGCCTCGAGCTCCACATGGGACATCTTCTAACGTCACCGCATGCCTTGTAGGGACTTTGAGCCGCAGTGAACCCAATGATCATGCCGATTAGATGTACTCATGTCTGATATGGCTGTTGTTCACAACTGCACCCAATTAAAAATATAATCCGTTGAACATCGTCCCTTGTGGCGATGTGTCCTGCCCCAGACCCACTCTACTCAACAGCCAACATACGTTGAACCATATATCGTATAGCAATATCATGTACGTATTGCCTCTTGAACTTCTCTCGCACCGTACATACGTATGTAGCCGACCGTGCTAATCGGAGGTGCGGGGAGGGACAACAAACAACACAAAAAGCAGTTCTAAAGAAATTAGATTTCAATTTAGAAAAAAAAAAATCTACGTGACATCTCTCCGTTATAGTTGTCACCGGATTCATGTGTTTCTCACTGTAATTGCAATCACCCATCTCTCCGTGCTTTTTTTTACATAATTTTCAGCTTTTGTTTCAATTTTCTTTGTGTCAATGTCCAGGCTGATGCTCCGTACGTCACGGCAAGTAATACGCTCGCTGTCTCTCTCTGTGTGAGCCGTGTTCCTATCTCGAAGATGGTTGGCGGTTATAGCCCTCCATTTAGCTTTGTCTAAGATATTCATCAAGAAATTTGCATCAAATACTCCCAGTTGCATCCAGCTTAATTTTTCGTCTTCCCCCAGGTTTTTTTGTATCTGGAAGTTTTCCTTTGTAAAAAAAAAAATGCATCGATTGAAATGTTTTCCTCGTGCACTTTGGCGCGTTTATCAAATTATATTGTTTTCTTCCCAAAAGCTCTCTGTATCGTGCACTCATTTGTACCTTCATTTCACAATTTGAAATATCGCTCCGATTTTTCGTAATTTACGGGGGTTTATATGTTCTGCTGTACGTTCCATTTGTCTTTTTCAAACGATGACAGTATTTTCTTTTGTTTTGAAAACTTGCTGGCAGCGCATAACTTTTCTTTCTGCTCACTGTCATCTTGAAGCCAAACTTTTTCAGATTTCTGTTTTTGTGGTTCTCCAATCGCGTGTCCTCCACGTAAATCTTTTTAAATTGTCATTATAAATGTTGGCCATCAGAAACGATGTCATACTCTAACCATTTACGCGTTTGTCGTTGTATCCCTGCGATCAATTTTTTAAAAAGTATCTTCTCGTTTTTGCTCTGAACATCGTAGGTGTGGGGGGTGTGTCTCTTTGCTAGACTTTTGTCTATGGGGAGCGATAGCGTAGTTGTTAGCGCTACGCTGCGCTACGAACCCGGCGACCCAAGTTCGTTTCCCGCTTGTGGCCAACAACGGTGACGATTTTTGAACTGGTCCTGGGCTTCCCCGAGGTCGAGCCAGCCTCAAATGAGTACCTGGTGCAATGTGTAAACATCGCCACTAGGGAGACAAAGATGGCCAGGCGTGGTGCTGGCCACCCACCCCCTCGTGTGCCCTTTACGACCTTCATAGGTGCTCGCTAACAGCACTTGCCCCAACAGTCTGCTACTAGCTATATGGGGGATCTTTGCCTTTGCCAGACTCTTCTTCTAATTTGTATGTTGTAATCTCAGTGTAGTGGTTTCCTCTTAACGGTTTTGTATGCATTTTTTTGTTCTCAAGGGCTATTGTGAAAGCTTGGAAAACTACATCAGTTTCCACTTGAATGCTATTTTGTGATATATAAAATCCAGGTATTCAGGGTAGTTAATATTAATTTGTAATTTACAAGATGCCGGTCATTGATAGATACAAAAAATCATTTGCTAAATTAAGAAAGGACTTTCTTCACTAACAATGCCTAAAAGAGAAAAAATATATAATTGACAACGTTTCGGGCATTGGGCCTTCTTCAAGGGCCATTTCCCGAAACGTCGTTGAGTTTATCTTCGTTGTTGTGCTTGGGAACCAACTGCCAATGCAGCAACAGCACCAAGTGGCTAGTTGGCCCGAAAAAAATATTTAACAGTATTATTATTATTGTCTAAAAAGGTCCCTTAGATATGTAGTGGCGTTATTTCACGCAGACTTCTTCTTTTTCTCCTGTGTCACTTTCATTCGAACAGAACTCCTTGCGTTCAACACCACGTGACTCCGTCGCAACTCTTCCGCTTGCGCTGCTTGCCTGCTTCGCTCACTCCGCTCTCTCAGCCTCTCCACTGCTAGCCTGTTCTGTCTCTCTCACTCTCCTAGCCTCTCCACTGCTAGCCTGCTCTCTCTCTCACTCTCCTAGCCTCTCTACTGCTAGCCTGCTCTCTCTCTCACTCTCCTAGCCTCTCCACTGCTAGCCTGCTCTCTCTCTCACTCTCCTAGCCTCTCTACTGCTAGCCTGCTCTCTCTCTCACCCTGCTAGCCTCTCCACTGCTAGCCTGCTCTCTCTCTCGCTCTGCTAGCCTCTCTACTGCTAGCCTATCACTACACACTCTGGTAGCTTCTCTACTGCTAGCCTATCACTACACACTGTACTAGCCTCTCCACTGCTAGCCTCTCGCTATATGTTCTGCTAGCTTCTCTGCTGCTAGCCTGTCGCTATATACTCGTCGAAGAGAGAATCACGGTACTTCCACCGACGGATCGTGAATTATGTTTTTGTTTGCCACGTCCATCGCCGCCCACGATTCAGACCACCGAGTGGCGGTGTCTTTACTTTCGGCTGCTAGAGCGGAGGCGCGTATCCCAAACGGTCTCCTGGATTCTAGCCTTGGGCAGCGTGGGGGTTCCTTTAGATCTTGATGGAGCGGCAAAGTGAAGTTTTTCATTGTCTTGTTGTTGTACTCCCGTGTCGTCGCATCATCGCGTGAGATGTTGGCCAGAGCGATATTTACCAGCACCGGAAGCCACGGGAGCAGAGTAAACTTTAGGTAACTGCTGATGATATGAAGCGCGTTGTTAATTTCGGCATCGACAAGGTTCGTGTGAGGGCTTGCACCCCACACCGGGGCACACTACTCCGCAGTGGAGTGAACTAGGGCCTGCGTCGATATCTTCAACGTGCTGGCATCGCTTCCCCAGGTTGTTCCTGCATGTTTCTGAATAATATTCACTCGTGCTTTCGTTTTATCTTCAGCTTGTTAGAGGTGGTGATGGTAGTTAAGCGTCCGATCCAGGGTAACTCCTAGATACCGAGGGTGTTCATTATGCCTTAGCTTTGCCCTGCAGAAGTTGACGTTCAACGTTTTCGAAGTGTGTCTGTTGTTCAGATGGAAGGCGGAGACGACGCTCTTCGATGGGTTTGGCTTAAGGTTCCAATTCTTGAAGTATTCTTCCAGAGTCTTCAGATCTTTTTCGAGGACTGCATCAGTGTCCTCCATATTCCGTGCTTGGGTTGCAAGAGCGATATCATCCGCATATGTGAACATACGGCAAGATGTCGCTGGAATGGAGCTGACGCAATAGCTTCAGTTTAAAGAAGGAACTCGCCACCGGAGGAAACCGGCCACTTTGATGAAAGCATTGCCCCCCGTGCCCTCCCCTGCAGAGACTATTCTGAAGCCGCCATAGGCCGTCACGGCCCGTAAACATGCCACTTCCCACACGCCCGCCACGGGCGTCGCCGATATCATCGACAAGTAAATACACAAACACCGGTTGTTGAAGACCCAATGCAGAAGATCCCTGGTTTGATCTTCCACGAAGCTCACGGTCCACCCTAAACCGCGTCCACTGCACCAACCATGACAGATGCAGATACCTGATGCACAAATGGAAAATTGAAAACTCTCCAGTGGTGTGCGATTGAGGTTATCCCAGAACAGACCATACAACGTATGACGCAATGCCCCGATCCACAAATACGAAGGAGACACCACAGCGATGATTCACTCCGCTGGCTCCTGACGCGGTTGTCTGGCTTGACCACCTCAATGTGAAATTGTAGTTTGTTGCTCTGTATCTACATCAGCCGTACCGAAAGAAGAGGAGGAGGATTTCTCCACAACTCTGGATGTCGCCTGATGATGCTCATTGCAATTTCTGGCGAAACGTCGTACTCGAATTGTAAATGTTGTGGCTTTACTCTCCAACACACCGGTGTGCTGAACTACTAACGAATTGTCATGTTTTGTTTATATGACAAACCTTACTAATTAACTGTGTCGGGCGGTGGTGGGTTTAACGACACTTTTATATTTACGCGATCTAACCCAAAAATCTGCTTAATGGATGATATTGGTCACGAAAGCCGACTTCGTGTTCAACTGAAATTGTAGTTGTTGCTCTGCATGGATATCAATCATACGGAAGAGTACGATTAAATACTTCCTATGACAAACGCACGACAGGAAAGCGTTACAGAACCCACGCATCGCGTGATTTTTATTTCGCCCCACCCCCCGCCCTTGGCCACTACGGCCGCCAGTTGTTGACGCTGTGCTCACGGCTCCGGCTGCTCTGTTCGCAGATGAAGCCAGCTACGCGCGCGGCGGAGCGCAGAGCCAGCCCCCAGCCGTCACGGGGGACACGTCGCCGCCGTCTCACCGGCAGGGCATCCCGGGTGGGTGCCTCCTTCACATGGAGACGCACACACACACGCGCACACACGCACGTACACCAACGCACACAAAGACAAAGATCCCCCGTATAGCCTGGACAGAGTGTTGGGGCAAGTGCTGTTAGCGAGCAGCACCTATGAAGGCCGGCACGGCACACGAGGGGGTGGGTGGCCATCACCACGCCCGGCCGCCTTTGTCTCCCCAGTGGCAATGTTTACACACCTCACCAGGTACTCATTTGAGGCTTAGTCGAACTAGGGGATGCCCAGTACCAGTTCAGATATTCATCACTGGTGTTGGCCGTGAACGGGAATCAAACTCGGGTCCGCCAGGTTCGTAGCGCAGCACGCTAACCGCTACACTACTATCAGCAACGACAACAACAACCGCCATTCGCCACTAAGTGGCGGTGACGCCACCACGGCGCTTGTGCCAGGCTACGTGCACACTACCACACGCTGCACGATGCATGAACGGCGCGCCGGGGGGCAGCCCACGAGGCGCTCGCGACCGCCGCCGCGTCACGGATATCTTTGCGGCGCGCGGCGTGGCAGAGTGCGTCCACGTGACTAAGTCATCGCTCTCGCTCCTGGGCTGAAGTTGTTCAGGCGCCGAAATGTATTTTAAGTACGGTGTGTTGAAAGTTTAGTTCGCGCCGTACGCTGCTGACCGTGCTGATCTGAGGTGCGGGGGAAGGACAACGAACTAAACACGAAAGGCAGCTCTAAACAAATGAGTTTTAAATCTGGATGATTAAGTGCATAGCTCCATTGGTTCTCTAATATTGGAAGGAAGAGCATTGCAGATGGTCGCGGAAGCGCATCTGAACGCGTGCGATACAGTGACCGTCTTTGTACGATTGCTCGCCAAAAGCCACTGCGAGGATGAGTGCAGTTCTAAAGAAATTCGTTTTAAATGTAGAACCTGTGAATAAGCTGCATGAATATTCTGGCATTGTAGCTTGTGCAGTGGTGGTGGTTGTGAAATTATAATTACCCTCGGATAACACGAGCTTACGGTTTGCATTTTCTTAAGACAAGACATTGAATTGAAGTCAAACAGAAAACGTGGTTTATTATTAAACTTCCTTCGTTTATTACGGATATTAATTTAGTATCAACAAAAAGTTGATTGTTGAGTTGTGAATCCCGCTGCTGGCCTCAGAGGACATCGAGTAATTAAGCCGATAACTTCCTTTTACGATTACTTTAATCTGTGCGACTCCCATCTAACGTTAAAGAAAGTTTTGCTAAAAATAATCTCTGTCAAATAAACAAATGAAAGGCGTTTTTTTTACATGTCATTTTAACGAATTCACAATTCAGTAATTGGTCCAACTTCCCAAAAACGTCCTCGTCGTTTTCCACGAAAAATGTGCCGAAGATATATTTTGGAAAGCCAAGGTAAGCTAAGTTTGGCGAGTGCTGAGAGGAGGGGTATTGGCTAAGTGACGGCGTTATTTACGACGGCCAATGCGAGTCCCACACTGGGGACTCGCGTCTGCTCCCTCCAAACGTAAGGAGCAGCGTTGATTACTCGCATCTATCTCGCTGGTACTCGGAAGGCAGCTTAAACATTGACAAGATTGAGGCGATTAATTTGTTTGAGTTTTTTTTTCTTTAAAGGTTGCTAAGAAGATGTTGTGCTCGTCTGCACGTGGGTTGTCTTAAATGCAACCAACAGAGACTGGTCTCTCAGTCTGCTGTCTAAAGACCTCGCGAGAGGCAGAGAGAGGTCGTTGACGGTGAATTTTATTTCCCTCCAGAGTGTATATATTTTTTGTTAAATTAGATTTTTGGCTGCACACAAGAACAAAAGCCCGCTGAAGAACGCTGGGCGACGAAAACAACCGCGCGCAAATATCCACCAGGCCCCATGTACCCCGACGAGTACCGGTTGATGGAGGGGGGATCTATTGTCTCATTAACATGGGGAAATGGCACCGATAGAACATTTCGCTTTTGTTTGTAACATAGGGTGGAGGGAGGGCGCTGTGTATGAGAAAATAAAAGGGGGGGGGGGGGGGTCGAGAGTATATTATAATTGTGCTATATTCTTAGGTGTTTTCGGTAAAGTCACGTAGGTAAAACATCAAAATTTATAAAAATAATAAAATAAAATAAAGATCACGACGTTTCGGAGGCAACACAAGTCTCCGTCATCAGGTGGGACAGTCACACCCACCTGATGACGGAGACTTGTGTTGCCTCCGAAACGTCGTGATCTTTATTTTATTTTATTATTTTTATTAATTTTGATGTTTTACCTACGTGACTTTACCGAAAACACCTAAGAATATGATTCCTTGCAGTCACGAAAGCTTCAAGTCTAGAATTATAATTGTGCTGTTTTGCATCATGGCATGGGACTGATATATCCGTTGTTATTGCAGGGCATCCGTTAAGATTAACACTTGGGTTTAGAGAACACACGGAGGTTAATGACGCCGCCCAAAATGTGAAGAAAAGTGAGTGGGCTGGGGCAGGACACTTCCTGGCGAGAAGGGCACGGTGAGCTGGCCATCGAACAAACACGGTTAAGCCAATGCCTCTCAAATTGTTTTATATTATAATAAATGCTGCTGGTCATAATGACCGTGTCCCCTGCTCAAAGTTGCAATTGACAGTGATTTCAGCATTCGATGGTAGAGCCAATCTTTCCCAAAGTGCTTGCGAAAAATGAACCACGATGCATTGCTGATCTCGCCATGGAGCATAAACCACGCACACTCCGCTCATTCTCGCATTGGCTTTTGGCTGGCCATCGATCAAAAACGGTCACCGCATTGCACGCTTTCAAATGCGCTTCCGCGGCCAATCTGCAATACTCTTCTTTCCAATATTCGAGAGTCGCTGGAGCTATGCACATTGAAATCATTCAGCTTGAAAACTAATTTCTTTAGAACTGCCTTTTGTGTTCAGTTTATTGTCCTCCCCCGCACCTCCGATTAGCATGGTTCGCTACGTATGGTGCGAAAGAAGTTCAACATACATACACACGTACATGCAACAGAGTGGCATCCAAGGAATGAAACACGTCTTGAGAGGACGTCCACTGAGAAGATGGAGCGATGGGATCGGTTCATGTGAAGGCGCTGGATGGATTATTGCACTGCAAGATTAGAGAGACCTTCATCCAGCAGTGGATTGATGATGGTGATAATGATGGGGAGCATCGCGTTAAGAGAAAATGTCACGTTGCAAGAACTGCTTGTGTGTTTTTATAATGTGGTGCTGCTTTGCACACGCCCTTCTACAGAGGTGATTATAATTATTACATGGAGATTGAGCAGATGTCCCGCACAAGCCAAAATAAGATGAACTAAGTGAGCAATCAAATAGATCCCGATTCTGATTTTGTACATCCACTGGCGCCCTGCCAGAGACCATTAACTCACCACACTTGGGAATGGAGAAAAAAATCATCACAGGGAGCTATCTGGATTCGAACTCTACATTGTTGTATTATTGGTGCTGGGTGAATGCTTCAAGTGCTCGATTAGCTCCCTGAGCCACACCACCAGTTTGTTCTGTAAAGACCCACGAGAGAGTCATGTCAATACGTTATCTACAAGCCTAATCAGAGTCTGATATGTCACTTTGTTGTGCAAAGACCCCATCGGAGACTGCCGTTGTTGTTTGGAGAGCCTGTGCAATTGCACCTGACTCATAATATTTTCTTAAATCACTGCGGATTATAAGTTCAAGCAAAACAGTCTGCTCCAGACAGGCAAAGCGAGCGCTCGTACAGCTGTTTGACACGCAGGCTTTCGCGACCAATATTATTCATAATGAAGCTTTGTTTGGGTTACATCGCGTTGCATTGCATTACATTTTCAAAATATTTACTAAGTTTGTTTTCTCAAACGGCATATTTCTCTCTCTAAAATTTACCACGCTCTCATAGGTCCATTCGATCTTTCTCTCCTTCGGTCGCTTCGGGGTGGATTTCCACACAACTCTCTCTAAAATGTACCAGTCTTGTTGGGTCTTTCATTGACATGCTAATTTCTCTGCTCCAGCAGCTGCCCCAGCAGACCCAGCTCTCTCTCTGCCCCACCCCCTCTCTCTATTTAAAGCCTCGACACAGAGGCATTGGGTCTCTGTGTGTGTATGTTGTGTGTCTCTCTCTGTGTGTCTGTGTTGTCTCTCTCTCTGCTTGTGTGTCTGTCTGTGTGTCTCCGTGTCTGTGTTTTGTCTCTCAAACGTAGTTCTACCTGATGACGATTGCTTGTGTTGCAATCGAAACATCGTATTCTATTATTTAATTTAATTTCTTTCTACGTGACTTTACCGAAAGAACCCAATGAGTAATTCCTGCAGTCACGAAAGCTTCAAATCAAGTTAATAAACGTTGTGTCGTTAACCCCCCTACCACCTGACACAGCCAGTCAGGTTTGTCACGTCAACAAAAAGTGCCAATTAGTGACTACTTCAGCCCACCGGTGTGTTGGAGAGTAAATCCACAACATTTACAATTTGAATACGAATTTTAGCTGGTAATTACATCCAGGCGGGATTGTAACAAAATCGCCCGATGATAATGGATGGAATTACTGGCGAAACGTCATGATAAGCAAATTGTAAATGTTGTAGATTTACTCTCCAACACACCGGTGTGCTGTACTAGTAACGAATTGGGCACGTTTTGTTTATGTGACAAACCTTATTAATTGGCTGTGCCAGGTGGTGGCGGGTTTAACGACACATTTATATGTACGCACTTGTACCACAGCACCGTATGTACAGACTGCATGTGCTGTACACATTCCAATCCGTGCGCTGCATTAACACGCACAGAGCCAGACTGAGGCTGTCCTAGGATTCTTGTGGTTGAATCTTAATGCCCCATGGCTTAAGAGAGCCAGATGAAGGAATCTGTAAGATTGTTAAAGGTTCAGTGTTGATGCCCAAGGCTCTCGCAGCCAGACTAAGGCACCTTTGGGATTTCTTTGCATTTATTCGCTAATGCCAGAGAATCGGAAAGCTAGTGTGAAGAATAG